TACGTGACAGGTTCATTGAGAACTACAAGCCGACTGCAGCAAAGGCTGTCGGTAATTGCAGTTCATTCATTCACAGAATTGTGACAGCTAGCAGGGGATCTTCTTGGGGTACAGTCAGGAGCCTGTCTGTTTGTAATATGTTACATGTTACACACTGAATACTGGGTGTAACATATAACATGTTACGAAAGGCGAACTAATCCTTTAAGAAACTGCAGATAACACAGCAGTGTAAAATTGGCCTGCAGCAGGATAACTTTAATGAGCAAGGCTAGGCCCAAGTTTATTAGAAATTGAGGACACAGGCTGGGCATTTTCTACAATAAGTATGAAACTGCAAAGGCTACAGTAGTGTCCCACTGGCCAGCAGCAGGACAGTTTTAGTCAGGGATAATAGGTCTAATCAGTTTACAAAATAAAAGAGTGAACCTAGCACACCTAAAACCTAAATGGCTTAGATGGAACAGCAGCTAAAAATGACATCTGACATATGACCAATCACAAAAGCCCTCCATAATTACAACAAAAAAGATCAAAGGGGTTAGTGCCCATAGAGCTAGCAATCAGAAATAAAGTACAATTATCTAACTGACCTGAAACTCTTCCTATGCAGCTTTCCAGCTTTGAACATGTATAGAAAAAACAGAGGCACAAAAGAAAAAACTACTATTCCCTTAAAGCAGAATTCCGGGTAAAAACTTCCATGTTCTTGTTAACTGAGTAGTTGCTCTGAAATAGCCTGATGATTTTTTTTTAAATAAAACCTTTAATCCCCTGTGGTTTCTTGTATGTAAGACTGGAGGCTGCTATGCCTCTTATTCTCCCAGCCACTGGTCTTGGCACTTCCCATTTGTAGTTCTATGGAGCAGGCAGAGATGTACTTCCGTTCCTGCTTGCTGTAGTGGGTGGATCGAGACTCACAGGCTCCCGGTTTGTACCACCCATGGAGGCAGGATGCTCTGGGTTTGTCCAGCTTCCCCTATCCCAGTGTTCCAATGCTGAAAGTAAAAAAAAAGATTCTCCTGCAGCAGCCAGCAGCCAGTTCTTCTATTCCCCTCCAGCACTACATGTCTCCTTTCACCACTCTCCCTTCCATCCATATCGGTCCAGAGCTATCTGGAGGCAATACTGCCTGCCATCCATGCATGGCCAGCTGAGCACCTTCCTCCATTCACACGCTCGGGGCTGTGAGACAAGTAGACAGCCTGGTGCAGTGACCTGTGAGCAGACAGATGTAGAGAGAGGAGAGAACGGGGAAGAGGTACCCTCCTGTCAGTGGAGCACTCCTCTGTACTGTAAATTACACAGGATTGCTAGACTGGACTGTACAGATTGATCATCCACCTCCTACACACATATCCTGCTGCTGGGAGATGAACAGTCCATGAAGGAAATAGGCACAGGTAATCAAGCTATACAGTCCAATATAAGAGTGATCTCCTGTCATACTGAGCAGCTGTTCTGATAGGTTAGGGGAGATGGATGGAATGGTGTGCAAAGTTATCAGTGCAGCTTGTCAGTGCCCATTGCAGCCCATCAGTGCCCCCTCATCAGTGCCCATCAGTGCACCCTCATCAGTACCCAGTGCAGCTTGCAGCATATGCAGCCTCATCAGTACCCATCAGTGCAGCTTATCAGTGCTGCCTCATTAGTGCCCACCAGTGCAGCTTATCAGTACCCATCAATGTATACTTATCAGTGCCCATCAGTGCAGCCTCATCAATGCAGCTTATCAGTGTAGCCTCATCAGTGCAGCTTATCAGTGCAGACTCATCAGCACAGCCTCATCTGTGGCCATCAGTACAGTTTATCAATGCCAATTAGTGCCCCTTATCAGTGCCGCCCCACCAGTGTAGCCTTATCAGTGCAGCCTCATCAGTGCCCATCAATACAGCCTCATCAGTGGTCATCAGTGCCCATCAGTACAGATTATCAGTTCCGCCTATCAGTGCCCCTAATTTATTACAGCAGAATACAGTGTGTAAAATACATAATTATTGACATGTGTCTATAGTTCAGTAATGAATGAAATAAAGCATGTAAGTCCTCTCAGAAGCCCGCCTCACTACCTGCCCCCTGGACCCTATCCCCTCTCAACTCCTCCGGTCACCCCCCGCCTCCCTCATCCGCTCCCTCACCCACATCTTCAATCTCTCCCTCTCTACTGGCGCATTCCCCTCCCCCCTAAAGCACGCGCATATCACCCCCATCCTCAAAAAGCCCTCCCTGGATCCCGCGGACCCCAACAACCTCAGACCCATCTCCCTGCTGCCACTCACATCCAAGCTCCTTGAGCGCATAGTCTACGATCGCCTAAGCTCCCACCTTACAGACAATAACCTCCTTGACCCACTACAGTCCGGCTTCCGTCCCCTACACTCCACTGAAACTGCCCTCCTCAAATCACTAACGACCTTCTAAACGCCAAAGACAAGGGCGACTACTCTGTCCTCCTTCTCCTGGACCTCTCTGCGGCCTTCGACACAGTTGACCACCCCCTCCTCCTTAATAAACTACTCTCCCTTGGCATCAGAGATACCGCTCTCTCTTGGTTCTCATCCTACCTATCCCGACGCTCCTTCAGTGTCACCTACAATGGTGCCACCTCCCCCTCCCTCCCCCTCTCTGTTGGGGTCCCCCAAGGCTCTGTCCTTGGACCCCTTCTCTTCTCCATCTACACCTTCTTCCTGGGCAAACTCATACACTCCCACGGCTTCAACTATCACCTCTACGCTGACGACACCCAAATCTACCTCTCCACCCCTCTCCTCACCCCCACTATCTCCGCCCGCATCACTCACCTCCTAAATGACATCTCAGACTGAATGTCGCTACATTTCCTCAAGCTCAACCTCTCTAAAAGCGAGCTCCTCGTCTTTCCCCCTGCCCACCCCCCCCATCCTATCCATCATCACCAACAACTCCACTATCACTCCCGCCCCGCAAGCCAAAGTCCTTGGCGTCATTCTTGACTCAAACCTCTCCTTCCAACCGCATGTCAAATCACTCACAAACACATGCAGGCTCCATCTCCGCAACATTGCCAAGATACGTGCCTTCCTCACCCTTGACACCACCAAACTTCTAGTACACTCCCTCATCATCTCACGCCTTGACTACTGTAATTCTCTTCTCACCGGCCTACCCAAGTGCAGGCTCTCCCCACTCCAGACCATCCTGAACTAAGCGGCTAGACTCATCCACCTCACCACCCGCTGCACCTCTGCCACCCCCCTCTGCCTCTCCTCCACTGGCTCCCGATTGCCCAACGCATCAAATTTAAACTTCTAACCCTGACCTACAAAGCCGTTCACAACACTGCCCCTGACTACCTCACCAACCTGATCCCCAAGTACCGCCCTACCCATACCCTTTGCTCCTCACTGGACCTCCTTCTATCCTGCTCCCTGGTCTCCTCCTCCCATGCATGACTGCAGGACTTCTCCAGGTCCTCCCCCATCCTCTGAAACTCACTGCCCCAATCCATCAGACTGTCGCCTTCCCTCTTCACATTCAGACGCTCCCTCAAAACCCATCTCTTCAGGGAAGCCTACCCCACCCTCAACTAACGGCCATTCTCCCTCTTTCCTCCCACCCCTCATTCCCCTCAGCCACTTCCTACTGTACCTTTACCCCCTCCATCCTAGATTGTAAGCTCGAAAGAGTAGGGCCCTCGTACGTTGTTTGTTATTGTTGTACTGTGCCATGTATTGTCCCCCCCTTTATTGTACAGCGCTGAGCAAACCCTTTGGCGCTATATAAACTCGATGTAATAATAATAATAATAAGGTAAGGGCAATTAGTTTATCTGCTGTTGTAGCTGAAAAGGGAAAGATCACATGTGAAGATAGCAACTACAGCCAATAACAAAAAACTTAGAGGATTGAAAATTAAATATTTAATTAAAGTAGACTACATAGAATGAAGTAAACATTTTGCACATGCATAATTTTAATTTATAAGATTTTCATCTAGCTGTCCTGTGTGAGCTGCTGAGAAGTGTGGCTGGAGAATAAGGGGACGTGATTTATGTTGAAGTGGTCAAGTACACATTCAACATGAACAGGCCTACTGTACCTGCCCAAATCCCAGTGGTTATTGGGAAGTGTAATTTCCTGAGAGGAGGATATGATGTATTCCCTGCTGTTACACTTTGTCCTTAGCAGAGCAGATGCTGTTATTTTTTGAATTACAGAGATGACTCAGTGAAAATTCAGTTAGACTTTTCTCTTCAAAGGTAAGGGTTTCACAAATGTATTAACTGTTTACTGTTTTGTGCAGGGAGATGATTTTTTGCCTATACCAGAGATCTTCTTTAATGAGGATATAGCCAAATGGTAAAATCAATAAAAGAAATTGGGTAAAATAAAAGTCCAAATATGCCCATAAATCCATAAAGATAATAAAGTAATAGAACTACATCATCAGCGACAGCCGCTCCTTAGATTATGCAGTCTTTGTATTAAAGACAGGAAGGGGAACAACGGAGGCGCCACTAAGTGTAGTATAAAACATTTATTTATTGAGCAAATGGTTATCAACACTCACAAGATGTAGATAAAAAGAACACTTGTCATGAGGAAGGACACCTCAATTCCTAATATGCCCAGGGTCCATTTTTCTTTTTCAAACTGACATGTAAGGTAGTTTCTTTTTGCATTGGTACGTACCTTTTAAATTAACCGCTTTCCCGTCGCCCTATAGCAGATATACTGCTACAGAAGGGCAGGGGTGTGCAAAATCACATATATATGTAATTTTGCATTTCCGGGTAGGGTGTGCTCACAAGCCACACATGTGCCTTACCTGCATCGCTATTCGCGGCCCCAGCTGTCAATCACCGGGTTCCTCCCGGTGATTATTCACCGGCATCTGGTGATCGAGCAGATTACCAATGGAGGGAGAGAACTGTAGGAAACAATACAGTACTCTTCCATGTTGGCTCCACAACCTCTATGCATGGATTTGCATAGCAGAGCCATGCATATAGCAGTGTGTTTACAGTGAAGCACACACAAAACACAGCACACTGTAAAACAGCACACAATTAACCCTTTGATCGCCCCACATGTTAACCCTTTCCTGCCCAGTGCCATTAGTACAGTGTCAGTGCTTTTTATTAGCACTGATCACTGAATAGGTGTCACTGGGGATGTCAGTAAACCCAAGTCAATTTCCCCAGTGTCAGAAAGCCTGCAGTCCTGCTATAAGTCACTGATTGCTGCCATTACTAGTAAAAAAAAGAATCCCAGTATATATACTGCCATTTGTAAATGCTATAAGCTTCACGTAAACCAATTAATTTATACATATTGGGATTTTTTTTAGCAAAGACATGTAGCAGAATACATTTTGGCCTAAATTTATGATGAAAATTGATTTTTTTTATATTTTTTACTGGACATGCTTAATAGCAAAAAGTCAAAAATATAGTTTTTTTTTCAAAAATTGTTGGTCTTTTTTTTTATAGCGCAAAAAATAAAAAACACACAGGCAATCAAATACCACCAAAAGAAAGCTCAATTCATGGGAAAAAAAGAACATGAATTTAATTTGGGTGCAGCGTTGCAGGACAGTGCAATTGTTAGTTAAAGTAACTCAGTGCCGTAATGCAAAAAAATGGCCTGGTCAGGAAGGGGGATAAATCCTCTTGAGGGCAAGGGTTAAAAAGAGTCATGGACTGTTCCTGAGTGTGGGATGACTTTTTCATTTTACTAGGAGCAACTCAGCTTTTTATGTTCCTAGCCTTACGATATGAGACCTTCGGATTGGATAGGAGAGACATTTGTAAGAAAGGTTCTTTCAGATGAATGGAGCAGTGCTTTTTAAGTTTCCTTTTCATTATTTTATGCTGTGCATGAAACTGTTTAGTAAACTTAATTGGCTGTGCATTACTGGGCGAATTAGGGCTTTTATCTTGAAGTGTGAAGTGTCTTAGTGCTGCTCAGAAGCTGAGTTGTCAATAAAAAGTCACCTCACTGCCATATGTAGGGGAATGGTGTTTGCATCAAAGTCCAGTAACTTGCGATAGGAGGAGGAGAAAGGACATTGCTCTGACCTCCCGTGTAATCCTGTGTATTGTGGATGGCCAAAGACGTCACGCCAGCCAAGCCCTCTGATGCGCTTTGCCCACCAGGGCTTGATCACAGAGGAGTGCAGGACAACAGGCACTCTGAGCTTATATCTGCATCATCAGCCATGAATCAAACAGGTGTGTGATGAATAGAGTGTTGTGAGAATAAGAAAAGGAAAAAGTGAAAAATGTGAAGAAACAATAAAAGACTTCTAGAGGAAGTGAAAAATAAGGAATAAAGTAAAAAGAAAAATAAATGAATAAAAAAATGGAAATAAAGAAGTAATGATGAAGATAACAAGAAAATAAGAAAACATATCATCAAAAACAAAGAGTGAAAAAATTTTAAAGAATAGCAAAGTAAAAATGAAAAAATAGAAAATAAGATATAGAAAATAACAAATAATAAAAAAAACAGAAAATAGTTAAGAGAGGAGATGAAAGTGAGAAGAAAACAGAAGAAAAACAAAACAATTAGAAATAAAAAACAAAACATTTAAATATAAAAAGATAAAAAAGAAAAATAATCAAAACATTTTAAAGAAAAAGGAATAGAAAAAAAAGAAAGAGAAAGAAACAGTAGCTGAGAATAAAAAATAAAATATGAAAATGAACTAAAGTGAAGACAATAACTGCCACCAAAAAAAGGTGGGAAATAAAGAAATAAAATTAAACCTTTATTAGGGAATCTATATTGAACAAAAAAAGTACAAATAAAATATAGAAAAAAGATGTGTGGAAAAAATAGAAAGTATATGTGAGTATGTAAGAGTGTATGAAGTGAATAATATATGAGAAATGAAAATAAAAATCAGAAATATGTGAAGGTGCATGGAGTGTATGTGAAAAATTAAAATGTGAAAGATAAAAGGTAAAAAGTAAAAAATGTTAACAAAATAAAAATGAAAAATAAGAATAAAAAAGAATTTAATCTATATAGCATAAAGAGATTTATATACTAAATTTTGTAACATATTGTCCTAATCAGGGACACCTTGCGGGCAGATTGACAGCAGAGAAGAGGACAGAACTCCTCCACCAGATCCTGCACTTCTTCAAGCAGCTGGGGAGAGATTCATCTCTGCTCCCCTCATCCCAGCAGTCAGGAGCAGAGAGGAGGATAGAAATTCTCCTACAGATGTTGCGCTTCTTTGTGCAGCTACAGCACTTCCTGCTCCCCATCTACCCTGGTCTCAGAATTCAAAAGACTCTGCCAGCTGATTCCAGTCCCTCTCTGGTTCTCCTTCAGACCCTGAACTTTATACTTCCCAGATCCACCCCAGCATCTTCCTGGCAGCAGCACAAGGTAAAGGGGGTGCACTGTGATGTAAGTGAGGGTGGGGGATTCTTGATTTCTGAAGGTGGGTGGGCTCTTGACATCTGATGTAAAATCAAATGCAGAGGCAAGTTATTTAACATTTTAAAGAGTAGATACATTTATATAGTCTTACAGATACACTTGGACCTTTGAGGGCAACCATAATGCTGATGTGACCAGTGATAAAACTGAGTTTGACACCCCTGCTCTATGGTTTCCCTACAGCAACTTCCAATACCATGGCATTATGGTTCTGTGCTCCCTTTTTATATTGAGAGTGCAGGCTTAACCAATAGCCACCTTATTGGCCCCTTCTAAACCTGCTGGTTATAGTTGAAAGGCAATGCCGTGCATGACAATTTAAAAAAAATCTCTGTATATAAATTTGACAGAACCATGCTAGAAAATCTACCTGATTCACTTTGAATCCATGGTAATAGTTAACCTGAACCTCATCTCAATCCCTCACTCCCCTGGTAGACATTGCAACCCCATGCAAGAGAGGTAGACTGTTCCTCAACATCTTCATGTCCAATGCATATTTATGGACCCTGCATCACTCTTCAGGATCTAGGACCGCTGGAGCCTGGGAGAGTGGATGCAGCAGGCACCGGTCTAGCAACACAGAGGGGTGGAAGACTGGGTAATTACAGTTGCAAGAAAAAGTATGTGAACCCCTTGGGATTACGTGAAGTTTTGCATGAATTGGGCATAAAATGTGCTCTGAACGTCATCTAAGTCACAACAATAGAAGAACACAGTCTGTTGAACATAATACTACACAAACATTAGATGTTGCCATGGTTTAATTGCACATAACATGTAAACATTCACAGTGCAGAGAGGAAAAAGTATGTGAGGCCCTAGCTTAATGACTTCTCCCAGAGTTAATTGGAGCCAGGAGTGAGCCAACCTTGACTCCAATTAGTGTGATGATATTGGATGTGTTGCTGACAGCTGTCCTGCCCTTAAAAAACACACACCTGTTTTGGGTTTACTGGTTTCAAGAAGCACTGTCTGATGTGAACCATGCCTCACAGAAAAGAGCTCTCAGAAGACCTACAATCAAGAATTGTTGACTTGCATGAAGCTGGAAAGGGTTAGAAAAGTATCTCCATAAGCCTTGATGTTCATGTGTCCACGGTAAGACAGACTGTCTACAAATGGAGAAAGTTTAACACTGTTGCTACTTTCCCTAGGCGTGGTCGTCCTGTAAAAATGACTGCAAGAATGCTGCATGAGGTAAAGAAGAATCCCAGAGTGTCAGCTAAAGACCTACAGAAATCTCTGGCACATGCTAACATTTTTGTTGACACATCTACAATAAGGAAAACATTAAACAAGAATGGAGTACATGGAGGACACCACGGAGGAAGCCATTGCTATCTAAAAAGAATTTTGCAGCACGTTTGAAGTTTGCAAAAGAGCACCTGGATGTTCCACAGCACTACTGGCAAAATATACTGTGTACAGATGAAACCAAGATTGAGTTGTTTGGGAAGAACACACACAACACTATGTGTGGAGAAAAAAAGGCACAGCACACCAACATCAAAACCTCATCCCCACTGTAAAACATGGCAGAGGGAGCATCATGGTTTGGGGCTGCTTTGCTGCCTCAGGGCTGGACGGATTTTTGTCATTGATGGGAAAATTAATTCCAGAGTTTATCAAGACATATTGCAGGAAAACGTATGACCATCTGTCCGCCAACTGAAGCTCCGCAGAGGATGGGTGATGCAACAGGACAATGACCCAAAGCATATATGTAATGCAACAAAACAATAGCTGCAACAGCACAGAATACGCCTTCTGGAGTGGCCCAGTCAGAGTCCTGACCTCAACCCGATTGAAATGCTGTGGCATGACCTTAAGAGAGCGATTCACACCAGACATCCCAAGAATATTGCTACACTGAAACAGTTTTGTGTAGAGGAGTGGTCTAAAATTACTCCAGATCATTGTGCAGGTCTGATCTGCAACTACAGGAAATGTTTGGTTGAGGTTATTGCTGCCAAAGGAGGGTCAACCAGTTATTATGTCCAAAGGTTCACATACTTTTTCCTCCCTGCGCTGTGAATGTTTACATGTTATGTGCAATTAAACCATGGCAACATCTAATGTTTGTGTAGTATTATGTTCAGCAGACTGTGTTCTTCTATTGTTGTGACTTAGATGACGTTCAGAGCACATTTTATGCCCAATTCATGCAAAACTCTACGTAATCCCAAGGGGTTCACATACGTTTTCTTGCAACTGTATATCTACTTTTCCTTGTCCCCTCAACATAACTTAGTAGTTATCTGTGGCAGGGGGGATGCAGCCCCACCGCAAAAGAGAAGCTTCAAGTTTCCAGGTGTTGGGCTTTAAAGAAACTCTTCAGACTGCAAATCTTAGATGAAATATTAGAAAGTGTTTATTACAGAGTTCTTACATGTCTACAGACCGAAAAGAGACAGAACTACTTCAGCATTACCAGCTCAACTATTATATTATGGATAAATGCACACTAAACTATATGTTGCTGACATATAACTCTCACAAAGTCCAGCGCCTCTGAAATCGTCAGTTGCTAAGACTGTTAAAAATCAGCAAGATAAATAAAATATACTGATCAGACAAATTGTGTAAATATAGTAAGCGCTCTCAGTAATTTAGCAGCTGAACATTCAAGGAAAACGCATAAAAAGTCCCAAAGTTCATATATATACAAAATGCAGC